TCTGCATTCTGTTATTTTGCATTTTTTCTGATTCTATTTGCATTTTCTTCACATTGCTTGTTCATGTTGCAGTCGATTGATGCCTGTAACCATCCAACTGGAAGAGATCATAGTCTGATCTGATTAAGAGGTCTACTTCTACTTCGAAGGCAAGGCGTCTTCGATTCCTCTCGAGTCCGTCATTGTCAGCAGTTTGTCATTATTTTTGTTCGGTCTCATTCTTCATTACGTTCACACTTTAAACTTCTGTAAATGCCTTGGTGCTACATACTCCATCGTATGTTCATCTTATTCCTGTTTATTGCCGTCGCCATCTTGTTATGTACTGTTGTATCTTCACAGTGCCCGGCCTGGATATAGGTTTATTGCGGTGGCCGAGCAGGTTCAACCAAACACTCACAAGGGGACGCGATACAGCATAACACACATGTAACAAAACGATGGGTTTATATACTCGACGATCGGCGCGCAGTAAATGGCGCTCTCACATATGCTAATGCATAGAGCGCATGATTGACCTGATTACGTGGCGATGTGTAGTCGATTAGATCACAACATACTAATAAAGTAGTCGGTCGCATCAATGCACGAATGACCAATGGCGATGACTCATGATCGTCCGTAACACGTATGTTTTGTTCTTCACCGTAAGCCGTTGCTTGTTGTCGGTACTTTGTGTTTTTTGCTTTTGTTCTGTCTCATTATTTAGGTACTGCTACGTATGATATGCTGCTATTTTGCTTTCCTTTGCCTCTTTTTTCTTTGAATTTCTTGTCGTCAGTTATTTAAGTTTCTTATTTAAGTTTGCTTCTTGTCCTGCGTGTGTTTCTGACGCCCTTTATATTGTATCCGTTTCCTTTCCATTACTGTTTATTGCAGCGGCTGACCCGTCATGCCTGATCAGGTCACTCTGCTTTGCACAGTAAGCGGTTGCTTGCCCCACCTATGACGCGTTCCGTGCCGTATGTTCTCTCTTGTTTGTGTTTTGCGTCTCACTTGACCTCCGTAAGCACTGTTTTGCTACATGCAGAACTTTACTCTTGGATCTATTGGATCTTTCCATAATTTTTCTTACTTGAACTCTTTTCGTAAGTTACTTTTCTTTCCGACATTTTGTAACCATTCCTTTGCTCTGACCTTGTTGTTCCCTCGTCGTCTGTGTGTTTTTCCACACTTGCTGCTTTTGTACGGCCGCTGCTGTGTCTCCGTATCTTCTGTTTTCTGCCGAAAGCAAT